TGATGCTTTTGAGTTGTGGTGCTGGCAAAGAATGCTGAAGGTACCATGGACTGCCAAAAGAACTAACAGATCTGTCCTGGAGGAAGTGCACCCAAAATGCTCCTTGGAATCGAGAATGGCCAGACTTCGTCTCACGTACTTTGGTCATGTTGTCAGAAGGGACCATTCCCTGGAGAAGGATGTCATGCTTGGTAGGTGGAGGGTCAACAAAAGAGGGGAAGGCCATCGACGAGATGGATTGACATGGTGGCTACAACAATGGGCTCAAGTATAGCAAGGATCATGGAGCTGGCACGGGATCGGGTAGTGTTTTGTTCTGCTGTGCATGGAGTCACTAGGAGTCAGAAACAACTCGATGGCACCTAACAACAACAACAACTTCCCTAATAAACTCCACAATCCTAAGTATTGCCTGTGAGTTCTTCTGTGTGGTCATTGCAATGAATTACAGAACCCAGCAGAGAAGTAATGAGTGCTGTGGGAGGGGCAGCTGGTGTCAGATCTGGTAAAAAAGTTTGGAGGGTGGCAGCATGTCTGGCGTCATACAATGAGAGGATACTGCATGGTTTAAAATCAGGAATGGAGTATGTTGGGGTTGTAGCCTTGGGCTGCTGATGGTGATTCTATGCCCCCTTCTCGAGGACAGAAGAAGTCAGAAGATCCCACTCCCATGTCCTTTTTGCAGACAACATTGAAATTCGTGTCCAAAAGTAAAAGTTTTACTGGAACCCAGCTCGCCCGTTCATTTACATACGGTCTGTAGCTGGTTTTGGAAGTAATTGAAACTGTAAGTGCCCTGCAAAAATGAAATATTTACTCTCTGGACCTCTACAGAAAGGGTTTGTCAACATCTTTCTTAAAAATGAAAATACTGGTATCTCGGTAATTGTGCTTATTTAACGTAAGGGATTATTTTAAGTAGAGGCTGAAATCTTAACACTCTTCACATTTTCCAAACTAAAAACAGCGTTAAACATGATTGTCTGAACAATTTTGTTAATGTCATAGCACAAGCAACATCACACGTTAGGAAACCGTGATTTCCTCCCATAGGATTTCACAAAATGCTGAGGGAATCAGCAGGACCAATGTCGGAGCCGAGCTCATTACCTCATTGATTTCATTGTTCCGTCTCCCTTCAAAGCCAGCGAATGCAGCACTTGCTTCCTTGCTAGGAGTCACGGGAACAGGGGATGATGATCCGCTGTGCACAGGCGTCTCTGCAAAACAAACAGATGGCCTCAGTCACCTGTGACACCCACGGCGCCTGTGCCGTCAAGAGTACTATAAGCAGTAGAGGTAACGTAGAAAATCAGGTCTCAGAAAGTAAAAACTTCCCCACGTCAGGCAGAACCTCAAGTATTATTTAGGGAAAAAAAAAAAAAAAAAAGGAGTGAAGTCCTGATATGTACTATGACGTGGATGATCACTGAAAACAAGGCAGACACAACAGGCCACATGTTATGACTCCATTCACCGGAAATGTCTGGAATAGATCAATCCAGACAGACAGACAGAAGAGCCGTGGCAGCCTAGGGCTTAGAGGGAAGATGGGCAGTCACTACTAATGGTGCCAGGGTTTCTTTTTTTCATTTTCTGAGGGGTGGGGGTAGAAATGACTGTGGTGATGCTTGCACAAGTCTGTGAATATGTTACACACCACAGACTTGTACGCTTTAAATGGATAACTTCTACGGTCTGTGGAATATATCGTAAAAAAGTAAAAAATAAAATAAGCACCTGACATTTTTTTTTAGCCTTTGACTTTTCAAAATGATTTTTAAGGCACATCTTCTTTTCTGGGGTACATCTTCTTTGATTCCTCCCAGGTGAATCTTCCCAGTCTTCACTCAGTCAACAAAAGCATATTAAGCACCTATAACTACGTGCCAAACTGAGCTGGTGATGGAGGTGACGTCACCAGTAAGTCACAGGGAGGGAGTTCACACAGTGGGGATTTCAACGCCAATGTCACTGTCAGCAGCGGAGCCTGCCTATGGAGACCCTGACGGGGAGGACTGGAAGGAGTGAGCCAGGGAGGCAGGGGTGGGGATGCGGTGGGCATCCAGTCACACCCTCGACACCACCACTGAAGCCCAGCAAACGGCCTCTGGGGAACACTGCCCTTAGCAGGCATTCACCATACTTAGGAGGACTCGGACGTGGACCGCAACCCTGAACCTCCCGGCCCTGTTAGATGAGCCAGACTCGCAAATCCAAACCCACTGCTGTGGAGTCACTTCCGACTCACGGCGCCCCTAGACGACAGAGTAGAAATGCCTCATAGGGTTTCCAAGGCTGTCATCTTTACAGAACCAAAGCTCAAACCAAACCCACTGCAGTGGAGTTGATTCTGACTCACAGCGCCCCTAGAGGGCAAGGCTGACCAAGGTTGTCATCTTTATAGGTACAGAAGGCTTCAGCTGATGGGGTCAAACCGTTGACCTTTCCATTACTAGCTGAGCACTTAATCACTGCACCAGCAGGGCTCCTGTGAGATGAACCACACACGCTCATCTCTACGGCTAGATGCCTGGAGCGTGCCAGTCTAGCTGACGGGGTGGCCTCCAGCAGGGTGCACGGAGTTAGCAGTTCACAGTCACACCACCTCCTCCATCACTCACTCCTTTCCAAGTAGACAGTATCTGGGTGACAGCACCAGCATGGCTGGCACCAACCTTGCTATTACTTGCTTGTGGCACGGAAAGGTAGCATTCTCTAAACCCTGAGCACCATCTACTTTGGTTATGGATGTGGTCCTGAATGTGACGTGAGTAACAGCAATGACGGGGCTTTAAGAGGTGTGACGTAAATAGCTATACTTCATTAGTTTCAGGAGAATTCTTTTGGGAAAGGATATACTGTATTTTCATGCAAATAATGCATGTGGTATGCTGATTTGGCAACCCAAATAACCCCTGGCATGAGTTTCCTAAGAGGAAAACTTGGTACTTGCTGCACAGGTTGAACAACGGTATTATCATTAACTTGGGGAAACGCCTGCTTAGTGTGGGCTTTGAGAGCTAACATCAGCCTGCAGAGGAAATGCATCCAATTTAATGATTTATTGTTTTTGCGTAAATGGGTTTTAATTTTAAGGCTCAGGAATATATTAATGTTCTTTCTTTAAAATTAACAGTAATTACTTTTTTGACTTTTGACCATCCATCCATGAGCAGCTCTTAGGAATGAAATTAGCCCCATAAGATTCTTAGCCACACCCCACACCCAGGCTCCGTGGGGTATACTGGGATATACTCGCAAGAACTGACAACTAGGCTTAGAGGAACTTGTCAATGGCAGGCTGTCTTCAGGGAAAGGCGTACCATTCCTCCTTTCCCTAGTAGCGGGATGCAGGTCTCCAGCCGGAAACGTCCTCAACAGCCCCCTTGCTCTCACCCAGCCCACTGGTGCTCTCCCCACCTCCCAGCCAGTACAGACTGGCCTGCTCTCAATCCAGCTTAGCACTGCATAGGGATTCTGGCAAAAGTCCCAGAAAAAGCAAATGCCCTCAAACCTTAGGGAAACCGGGCCTTAGCCTCAGGGATATTAAGTCTGGAAGCAGGGGGCCAAAATGCAGCTTCCAGAAACACTGCTTTCCCGCCACTGCCCCCATTTCATAGGCGCATCTCTGTCTCCTGCCCACACATCAAATAGACCTGCCCAATGGTCGGGATGGCCATGGTCTCCCAAAAGCTGGCCCGCCTCCCAACTCTGCTCTGAGTTCTAAACCCAGACCCTCTCTAAGTCAGTCTTTCACCTCCACTCTCCGGAGTTCCTTCTGCTTCTAATCCAAGTCCTGAATGCCTCCAAACACCCAGCCCCAAACCCCTTCCAGCGTAAGTCTGCCACAGTTCACGTGTCCACGAACGAGTGACTGTGGCCAAATCCAGTCCACAGCAGTAGCTGCCAGCCTGGGTGACCTGTAAAGCCCAGAACAGTTGCCATCTGGTATTTTATAGAAGCAGCCCTGATGTCGCAGTGGCTAAGCACTCAGTTGCTTACTGAATGGTCACCGGTTGGAACCCAAGAGACAGTTTGCTTCCGTAAAGATTTCCAGCCTCGCAAACCCTTTGGGACAGTTCTACTCTGTCCTGTAAGGGCACACTGAGTCGGAATCAACTTGACAACAAGGGAGGGGTATTCCTTTACAGAAAAAGTTTGCCAACCTCTGCTCTAACCCATCAGTCCATATGCTGAACTGTATTTTTTTACTCTGAATTTCTTAAGAGCTATTTATGCAGAACAATCACACTGACCTCTAATCTTTTCATTTTGATGGAGTTTTCCTTCCCGAACTAGCTTATAAAAGCCCCTAGGGGGACTGGAGAACGTGTTCTATTTTATCGTTCAACACTGTAATGCTAGGCACACCTAAATCAATGATTATCACATGGAATTTCTGATCTAACCAAACAATCAAGAACTCCATCTGGAAGTCAGGAAACAGTACATTCTAAGTTTTTTCAGAAGCCCTAAAGTGACCATCACTGGCTTATTTTGACATTTGATCCCAATCTTATACATACTTTACAAATAAAGTCAAGTCTTCCGTTCTTCCATAACCTATTCTACTTCAATACCAGCTCGAGATGAAGGTGAGCAGATCTGATGGAGCTGGGGCTGGGGTTGAGATAAGGCAAGAAAGGCTGAGGGAACGCTGATCACCCTCAATTGATTGCAGAACGGGATTTCAAAGGTAAGACATAGAACGGAGAGACAACGGAGACAGAGCACAAGCACACAAGAACAAAACCACCCAGAAGAGGGGCCCATTTTGGACTCTTCGCAAGGACCATACAAAACAGAGGATTAGCGTAATTCCACTTGCTCAGAAGAAGGGGTGGCAAGGGGCGGTTAGACCCACGCCAAGCTCAGGACGCACACTCCACTCCTGGCTTCCACCACTTCTCTGCTGAGCGGGCTCTGGCTCAGCTCCCCCTTCTGGCAGGTGGGGGCATAACAGCACTCGGGATTTGTTGGGAGAATCACCGCACGGCACACGTATGGCACACGCATGCACGTGAACTCAGCACAGCGCCCTTCCCCCTCCCGCTCCCCCCACCCCCAGTAGAGAACTTACTCTTTTCCAGATGCAGGAACAGCTTGGGCATGGTGGCAGATGTGTCCTGAGGCCGGCGCTTCAGCTGAGGCGACACGCTACTTTCGGACAGCCTGTCCCAGTTGGAGCTATGGCGTGTGGAGCGCCTCAGAGACTGCAAGGCTTCTGGCTCAGCTTTGCGCCTTTTGGGGGTGGCTGTTTCACCCGTGGCGGGCTGACTCTCGGTGGACTGTGGAGTGGATGGGTTTAACAAGGGCGGGCTCGGAGAGAGCTCCTCCTGGCTCCTATGGGAGAAGACAGGAGAGCTTTCACACATGACCACGGCCCACCAAATCCATCCAAAATGTCAACAGGTTATTCCACGTCCCCTGTAAGACAGTGCGGGCAACCAACTCCCAACTCCAAAAGGGGTATACATCTTCATCTCAAACGTGGGCCAAAACAGGTATTTTCCCAAACAGAACAACTAAATGTATGGTCACTTCTGATTTTCTCAACAGGTTCACTGGCATTCAAGACAGTGACTCCCATTCTATATTTGTTTCAGAGCACTGGCTGTGTGGGCAGGGACATATGGCGATGGACACAGGCATTCTGGGTTGTCACAACTGGAAGACGGGGTGCCACGGGCATCCAGTGGGCAGAGGCCAGGGATGCTGCTAAACATCGCACAATGCACAGAACAGCACCTCCGCTACAAAGTATCATCCAGCCCCAAATGGCAACAGGGTGGGGATAAAGAAAGCCTGGTCTAGACCAAAGAGTAACGTATTTCATCAAAATGTACCAACCAGCAGAACTAGCAAAAACCACAGGTGTCAGGGGAACTGGCGAAACACAGAGTGCATCCTTGACACTCCGCATCTCAGGTTTGGAGGAGGGCAAGTGGACGTCAACACGGGGCCCCAGCAAGTCTCACAGGCCTGTCGCCTGGGGTGAAACGACACTTGGGAAGGAAGGGGAGAGAGAAGGAAACAAACGCAGGTGGAAAAGAGACGGTAGCAAAGCAAAGAGAATCAGGAGAGACAGAGCCTTAAAGCAGCGAGAGGGGAGGGCAGGGAAAGGCGAGTGGTGTGTGATGGCGAGGAAGTTATTTGTGCCCTTGGAAAGAGGAGTGTGGTCAAGGGGTCAGGGCAGAATGAAGCCAGATGCTAAGAAAAGAAAAGATGGAGGCATGGAAATAATGAGGACAAACTGTTCTCACGGGGAGATGGTGGAAGGGAGATAGGGTAGCAGCGCTGAGAACATCCACGATTGAGACTTAGGTTGGGGGATTTTCTGTGTTCAAAGATGAGGGATTTCAACACACCTGCCCACTGAGGGAAGAAAGAGGGACACAGCAGGGAGGAAGGGAGATAACCGTTTCTACAGGGCGACTGGCTTGCCTTCTATGAAGTTTCATGTAATAATAGCAGCCCCCCCAGGAGGCAGATATTCGTGCCACTGTGCACATGAGCCAGCAAGAAGCCAGCAGGCACCTCCCCAAGCCTCACCACCCATAAGTGAGGGAGCTAAATTCAAACTGACATCTTCCACCCGTCTGCACTCTCCCTCACTCTATCAATGTCAGAAAGATGGGGACAGCTGTTCATGATCCAAGCTAGATTCTCCACACTGGAACCCTGGCTGCGGAAAATCACTTAAAGGCATTTAAAAGTGAATGATGCCTTGACTGACCGAGGAAGAGGGAAACCTCCCAGTCACTAGTACTGGCCTTTTCCCTAGTGTGGACATCCTGGCCCCATAGCATCAAAATGACACCTTCAAACCATGACTGAACTACTGGCCTGCTGAAGTCTATGAGGCAGACTACAGGCTCCTGAACTCACCTGTTGGTGCTGGTGGCATTTTCCTTAATTGGAAGGAAAAATTTGGATGAAGTCACCTTCTTATACTGAGCTTGTTCATACGGATAGAGCAAAACCAATGGGAGAGTGTAATCAAAGGTGATTCTTAGTCCATCAACCATCTCCTTACACAGGTCCACACTGGCGGGAATGAAAGGGAAAGGTGATAGAGGCAGTCTGGTAATGGTTACATTCCACAGCTTTAACAAGGCACGGCTTTAAACGTCAAACCTCATCTATCACCACCCCCAACACACGGAAAACATGAGACGGATGTGGGGATGCTGATGGGAAAGGATGAACACAGGGAAACAGACCTAGGGGACAGAGCAGAGTACACAGCTCATTTTCATCTCTCACACCTCACACGCGTGAACACGTGTGGTGCCCACGGGGAGCGCGTGCCAGACGTGCTGCCAGAAGTGGAAACACCCCCCCCTGCCAAGAGCTGAAGAAGCCTACCTCGTACTCTCGTGACTGCTTCCTGATTCTACTCCTGGTGGGTGACGTGGGCCAAGCAGCACCTCACAGTCCTCTGACTGCAATGAGTAGCTGCTGGAAAACAAGCTTGGGTGCAACTGTCATGGCCCATCTTGGTGCTTCTAAAGGAGAGAGTTACAGCCCTAAACCCAGGCAGTGTGTGCGCCACACACAGCACACTTTCAAGGCACCCAGTCCAGATACCAAGATGTTTACAGAATGTTCGGAAACAATGACCGTGTTCTGAAGAAGTGCACAGTGCTGCTGGGATCATCACATTTTATCTTCAGAACGCATTGTGAGAGCAGCTGACTGTAGCCCACGAAACAGAAGTGTATTCCTTACGCACAGTGTGATACTCACAAGGTCAAGGTTGTATTCTAGAGTCAAAAAAAGGATAACCCCAGCACTGGCAGCCATCTCAAAATTATGTGCTTGTAGTTATGGAGAGAGAAGAGCAAGCCGGACCATCCGCAAAAATCCATGATTACAACTAAAGGGGAAAACTGCCCACAAGTCAATGGAAAAAGACAGACAGAGCACCAAACTGAGGCAGAGGGTGGGGGGGGGGAGCAGAAAGGCATAAAACCATCCTGGAACACAAAGGAAAGGCAGATCACACCTTAGGCTTAAGCACAATCCTCCCGCAATATCAACACACACAGTTAGTCAGAGTTTAATTAGAATCTCAATGAGGTTTAGGAAGATAAAGGGATGGAATTGTTTTACAGAACACAAGGAAGAACGAAGGATCAAAGATAGCCAAGGAAATCATCAAGAAGAGTGAGGGGGCCTTACCTTACCAGGGATTATGAAGCTACTGGAAGCCAGGGTAATGGGAAACCATACTGGACATACAAAAATTCACCAAGGGGAGTCATGGGAATTGATTATGACAATGGAGATATTTTAATTCAGTGGGAAATGGCCATGGTGTTTTCCAGAAAGTGTTCACTAACTGGCTACAAAAAGGGTGACTGTGGTCAGAGCCAACTCAACAGCACCTAACAGCAACATCATTAATAAAGACAAACCGGACTCCTCCTATCTCACACACAAGAAAGTAACTTCCCAATGAACTCAGATTTAAATGACTTCTATTTTTCAAAAAAAAAAATACACATTAACCTCAAAGACAAAATCAACATCCATGGAAGCAGGAGTCAAGAAATCAAATGACATATTTCACTGGACAAATCTGCTGCAAAAGACCTCTTTCTCTAAAGTGTTAAAGAGCAGATGTCACTTTCAGGACTAAGGTGGTATTTTCAATCGCGTCACATGCATGTGAAAGCTGGACAATGACTAAGGAAGACCGAAGAACTGATGCATTTGAACTGTGGTCTTGGGGAAGAATGCTCAAAGTCCCATGGACTGCCAGAAGAACTAACAAATCTGTCCTGGAAGAAGTGCAGCCGGAACGCTCCTTGGAAGCGAGAATGGCCAGACTTCATCTCACCTA